TATTGTTGGAGTTTTTCTTCTGCAAAATGGCTACTAGGGAATACAAACATAAAAGTGGAGCACAAAAAAAGAAGGAGAACAAATGAGTCTACAAAAGAATACATCTAAGCTTGACAAATTTTTTAAACCAGGAAAAGAAGTAGTACTTGATGGTGTGGACGATGAAAAAAGTAGGTGAAGAATCGCAACGTGAAGTTCATTCCGGATCCAATGATGGAGAAATCGCAGACAAGTCGTCAAAGTCGATGGAGAGTGATTTGAGCATGTGGCCTGACAAAATTACAGAAGACATGCGTGTATACTGGTTCAAGACAGGGAGCAAAGCCTGTTGGGACATGAATGCTAGCATTGTGAAATCTATAAAATATGACTGTAAACAAAAACGTTACTTTAGTAAGTCCATGTTTTACCCATCCCTTACAAATGGCGAAAAAATCAGGAGAAGGTAAGACATTCTGTTTTAACTACAAACTGTTTTCAAATTCAAGTGAAGACCATGCTTTTTCAAAGCATGGCTTCTCTAACTGGAAAAATGCAAGTTAAAGATTAGAAAGTCATAAAAATAGCCAAGGTCATCGGATGCGACCATTACCCTCACTACAAAGTCTCGAGGTATTGGATGTGTAAACAGCTTGATTACTCAACAATACCAGTCAGAATGTGATTACATGAAAGCACTTCTGGAAGGGGTTGTTGCTACAATTAAATTTCTTGCTGAGCAGGGACTAGCCTTTAGGTGACACAACGAGTGTATCGGATCACCAAACAATGGCAATTTTCTAGCGACACTAGAATTGCTAACACAATTCCATCCATTTTTGGCAACTCATATTGAAAAGAATGGAAATAAGGGTAAAGGCTCTGTGTCCTACCTTTCATCCATAGTATCTGATGAGCTGATTGAAATGTTTGGACAAAAGGTGTTAGAGAAAATTATTTTGGAACTCAAAGAAGCCAAATATTTTTCAATATCTATGGATTCAACCCCTGATCGGCTGTCTTGCATTTTTTAACAGGTGCGGGAGAGTGGTCCTCTTGAAAGATTCATCAAATTTCTCGATTGCAGAGGTCACAGTGGTGAACAACTTGCCAAGAGTATTCTGATGTTTTTAGAAACAGAAAAAATAGACTTAGAGCACTGCAGAGGTAAATCATACGACAACGCCTCCAACATGAGTGGCAAGTATAATAGTCTTGGAGGTAAAATACGTGAGAGAAATCCAGTAGCTGACTATATTCCTTGCCTTGCTCCTTCGTTGAATGTTGTCGGTCATTTGGCAGTGGATTGTGTTCCGAAAGCTACTGCCTTTTTTGATTTTGTTGAATGGTTGTACAATTTATTCAGTGTTTCAACCCACCGGTGTGAAATACTTGTGGGTGAGCTTGGAAAGAATCTTGTGAAAAGTGAAGTTGTGAAGAGACTTAGTGATACTCGGTAGTCTGCTCACGCAAGTGCTACAGTCGACCTAGATCAGGGACACACCGAAAGTAAAAACAGCATTGCTGACAATCCAGATGAAAAGTCAAACACGCGACAAGAATTCAGAAGTCTTGTAAGCAAAATGGAATCTCTGGAGTATGGAATACTTCTCAGCGTTTGGGCAACAATTTTGGAGTGATTCCACAAAATCAGCTTGAATTTACAAACCCAGAAATAGATCTTAACGAAGGCATGAGACTTTTGCAGTCTTTGGAGCCCTATATCTCAGACCTCAGGACCAATGACTCCTTTGAGGACTTTGAGCAAGAAGGCATTACAAAGAAGAAATGCAAAGGAAGCAAAAAGTTAGTACCAAGATAACAAGATGTGACGGCGAAGCACACGCAACAGATTTTTTCACCTCGCCAAAATTTCAAGATTAATGTGTACTTACCGATCTTACACAAATTATCATCAGAGCTTAAAAAATGCACTGAAGAATAATGATCTGTGTCCAACCAATTTGGATTTCTTTCTCGTATTTGCAATACTGATGTCAGTGCACTTAAAAAGGCAGCAAATACCCTCATACAAGTTTATCTGGACGACTTTGACTTGGCCTTTGTGGAAGAGCTCGTCCACTTTCAGAAGTACATTCAAGGACAATCTGATAATGATGTCACTGTCATTGGGATGTATCAAGCTCTGGCAAGAGATCGACTACACAAGATGTATCCAAATACATACATTTGATTTAGAATTTATCTGTCCTTAATGATCACTAACTATTCAGGTGAGCATTCATTTTCAGCACTGAAGAGGATTAAAACCTATTTGCGCTCAACAATAAGTGATGAGAAACTTAGTCATCTGGCTCTCATGCACATTGAATCAGGTGTGCTTTGATCTGTTGATTTACATGCTATTATTGACACTTTTGTAAACCAAACAACACGGATGTAAAGAAAATGAAAAGGGCTGTAATTGATTCATATAACTTTATGATATTATACATGTAGTACATTATACATAGTACAATGACGCAAGTTATTTAACGTCACTTTATTCTATTCAACGAAGGGTGGGGCAGGGTGACAAGATCAGAGGGAGCCTTACTAAAGCTCAAACTAGGGGCCTGGGTAGTAGTTAATCCACCACAGCACTATGGATGCTGCTGCTAGAAGAAAGAGATTAGCAAATGGGTCAACAGTGCCAATAGTGATGGGAGCTTGTGACAAATATCAAGAGGTGCCAATAAATCGTAATATACCAATATGTGAAGGCTATGCTAGGGACAAGAAAGTGAAGGTTATATGAGACACTGGGTGCAGTAGTGCAGCAGTGAGAACCAGTTTAGTATCTGAGGGTCAGCTGACAGTTAAGGTACGCCTGTGTGTGCTAGTTGATGGGACAGAAAGTTTCCCATGGCAAAAATATAGGTGGATACTCCGTATTATCCCATTACCTATTGGAGCCATTTTGTCTTGTCAGACTGAAGCATGTTAAATAACTCTTTAAATTTCTTTCCAATAATAAAACTAGTGGATGAAGTTTAAAACTTGACATAACAGTATGTAGTTTGAGAAAAATTAAAAATTTTGATTTTGATATGTTTCTACTATTTCTCTCAAAAATTCGTTATTTATTGTCATTATTTGTGCTGAATAGTTCACCTGCAAGCTGATTTTCATATGAAGTATAAAAATACTATTTTTTATCTTACAATTTTCACATCTCACTTTCATAATCTCTAGAACCTGTTTTTTAAGGTAACTCTTTATATCTTATTTGTTGTTTTCTCTACAACATTACTAACTCTAGCTATTATCATCAACTTACAGCACAATGAAATGTTAAAAAGTAAGGAATGGAAATATACACATACCTTTTTTCTCTTCATTCTATTAACCTGATAACACCATGGACTAGTAACTTTGTTCATCTTACAACTTTATACATTATATCCGTGTAAATAGCTGGACTAGTAACTTTGTTCATCTTACAACTTTATACACTATATCTGTGTACATAGCTGGACTAGTAACTTTGTTCATCTTACAACTTTATACATTATATCCGTGTACATAGCTGGATTAGTAACTTTGTTCATCTTACAACTTTATACATTATATCCGTGTACATACTGGATTAGTAACTTTGTTCATCTTACAACTTTATACATCATATCCGTGTACATAGCTG